CAGATGGGAAAAATTTGTTAGTAAGATAATGCATCCAAGGGTGTCTTTCACTCTCTTCTTCTAGATCCTGATCACACAGTGCAGCAGGAGTTGGTCACACTGCCTCCAACAGTTCTGGAACAGCCCTCTGAGACCATCACAAAGAGTGCAACATACAAACACACAGCACAGAATGAAAAATGGAAGAATAGACCAATTCCAGTTGTAACCTGGGTTGTCAAAATCAGTCTTAGCCAGCGAGGGAGGCTCAGCAGTGAGGCACGGATTTACTTCATGTAGAGTGTGTACTCACAACGAATGCAGCCAATAGTTTGATAAATGCATCTGCCCAAAGGTGCAGAGTCAGTGTAGTCAGCTCCATCCCAAAATATCTGCGTGCTGCATGATGAGCTTGGCAGCCAAGCACAGTTCTCCTGAGAAAAGCAAGCTGGGGAAGTGAAAAGGTAACGTTTAATAGCTCCTATCAAAGCAAATGCTGAACAGAATTTCATGGGCTATTTCTGTTTCCGTGCTAAACAGCAAAGGCCTACTGCAAATAGCAGAGAGAGCTCCTCTAAAGAGAAAAGGTCACAGGAATCTTTCACAATGGAAAATGCTCTGGTACACAGATCAGTACCAGCTCCTAATACAAAAGAAATACCATTTTTCTGCGCAACTTCTTATTGTCTCCATATGTTTACACAACAGAGACGCCAATTACAGCCTTTCCTTTCAAGTCCGTTTTCAAAAGTAAGAGAATACAAGAATATTTGGCTAACAGGGCTTCCTTCGAATGAAGAGAATGTGAGGTGAAGAACAAAGGTGGGATTACTGACTCACAGAAACACCACGGAAGACATTTCAAAGACACAGACCTCCAGCTCAGCTCTGCTCCCACTGCCCTTACCATTGCCTTCAGCCAACACGAGCTTCATACCACTTCCAACTCAGACATTATTACCTTTCAGTTTAAAATACGTAACAATCCTCATAACAGTCTGAAAAATATTTCAGGAACTTTTAAAATTTGTTCCTCCAAGATACATTTTTATTTTTTTAAGCACGCTGAGACACAGTTCCTGGATGGGAGCACATGTGACCAGTTCTAAATAAAGTCTATTTTCCACTTCTTGCACAACTGGAACAGATGTAAGCAGTAGCCTGAACAAACTGCATTGCAGAACCTAACCAGAATATAAAACACTCAAATAAGATCCGTAAATAGCAGTGCTATGAAGACTACCTCCAGTAAAGCACAAATTCAGTGCTGAGAAGCCTCAATGTAATCAAGTTCAAACTTAATCACGCTGCAAAGATCATTTGCAAAATTAAATTTGATCATCTGCAGATTGAGGCACTTCAGAAGAGTCCTGTTGGGCTCCATAGTAAGCACACGTCTCAGAAACGTTTGCCTCTGGTTACATTAACGTTTCCTAAACAAACACACGGCGTTATAAGGAAAGCTGCTATTAAATTTGGTCTTCAGTGCTCAGCACAGTATCAGGAGGAAGCAAGTGAAGTGCTTTCCAGGGGATCCCAGCTGGGCATAGGGGAGGTACAAGCAGATGGAAGTAAGGTACCGACAGCTTACATCACTGCCGCAGCAATGACAAACTCTACAGCTCAATGCTATTGCTCATAAAGCAAGAACAAGCTTCCTCTACAACTAACACACAACTTAAAAGCATTTTCTAATCATCTTTTTCCACTAAAAATAACTCCAGTAGCTGCCATTGTTCCAAACCAGTCTGAATATAAACTGGCTGCAAAAGGGTACAAGAAAATAGTACAACCAGCAGCAAGCTAACTGCAGGTATGTGGCTTTATTTAGAGCATGGAAGTAAATGACAACAGCTGATAATTATGTCCTGGCACTTCAGAGGCAGCTCACACCAATGCACACACATTACAGGGACTCAAGAAAACAGAGCATTTGAATCTTTTTTTTTTTTTTTGTCTTTTTCTTTTATTTTTGGCCATATTTGGGTCAGTTCAGTGCACTGTGTGCACCTCAGTGGGTCAAGCTGTGCCTTCAGTGGTACCCAATCAATATCCACCCAAAGGAAAACGCGTACAGAACAGGGCAGGAGCAGGGTCAATAAGTGGTAACAGCATGCAGAATAGGCAAGAGGACAAAGTAAATATTACAGCAACTGCGAGCAACAGCAGCAGGCTGTGAGGCCCTCCCTTGAAGATCCCAGTTTGATACCCAAAGTAGAGCTTTAACAAGTCAAATGTTTTAAAGAAACCACGTTAGCACTGTGACAGATGTACTGTAACTGTGTTCTGGTGGCTGCGTGCAGAGGTGACATCTGTGTTTATTTCTGGCAATCACTGATTACTTTCTTCAATTGATTGTCTGAAAATAAAACTCCACCCATTTCACTGTGCACTGCTTACACCAAAAAGGAAACCTTATTTACCTGCTCATTACACAGGCACGTATGTACTCAAGAGTGTGTACTCATAAATTGGTCTCCAAAAATAAGGCAGCAGAGGAATGAAGTGCAAATGTGAAGAGGGGGAAGGAAACCATGTCCAGCCACTGAGACATGAGTTCAAATCCAGTTTCCTCCCACAGCGAGGAGTCACTCTGGAGAAACCAAAGCAACCAAACCATCATCTCAGTTTTCAAAGATGTTCAACCACAACAAATTCCAGAGAACCCTAAGTGTATCTAGCACTTTGTACAAGAAGCTAGGTTCTTACAGACCTGGAGAGCTTAGGAAACGTGGTTGGAAATGATGCATCTTTGTCCAATGACTTCTTTTCGTCCCTTGTGATTAAAGCTTTTTGCTGACATTTTTCCCTGGCCTCTAGTATTCAGTTGTGGCTTGGCCTAACTTCGTACAGTATTTACAGCAAAAAGCTTTTGTTATTGGACCCCTGGCAGCTTTGGATTGCAGACTTGAATTATGAAATATGGATAGACTAACTGAGACGGCACATCAACAAGGAGGAATATCGAGCTGGATGTCATACACCAAAAAACAAGCAACTGGGGAGGATGCGAGGAGAACAAGACCTGAAAAAGAGGCAGCCAGGACCAAGTTCAAGTGCCAATAAAACATTTCTTCTAGGGTCAGAGCCACTGGCACTGCTATGTACTGCTGAGCGGTGTGCCTTTTTCTATCTACTCACAATTTTAGTGCTGTGAGTAAGCTGAGGATGCTTCTCACTTCTTATTGTTAAAAAGCATCAGAGAAAGCCCTGAATGTTGCTAGGAAATCAGCAGTTCTCAACAGGGAAAGTAGAAGAACATTATTAAGCCCCAACCCCTAATACCAGTGCTTGCCTCTGTTCCACCTGCTCCGCTGGGTAAAGCTGTAGAGAGGACTGTAAGAAAGCAGTTTTTGTGGCTACAGCCCCATCATGACACCATTTGAACCCAGTGCTGTGCTATTACTCTGATTACATTACAGAAGAAAGCAGCACAGTGATGCTGGATTCCCCAACAACCACCCATCAGGCTTGGTTCAGACCTGAGCAGTGCTGAAGGACTACTGAAATCCCCACAGATTATAATCTGCACACTATGAAGCAGGCAGTTTTATGAGCAACTTCTGCCACCCATTATCAGGTTCCATCAGTCTGGCTGTGGTTCACATGGACCTAGCATGGATGTCTGGGTCCTTGGCTCTTCAGCTCCAGCATGGCCAGGAGTTGCTGGGACTCACCTGGAGGTGACAGCTGCACACAAGGCAGGTGACACAGCAAGGTCAGCACATCAGCCAACATGCTGGGGAAAGTCAGGGAAGCCCAAAGTGACAGCAAGGCAGCACATCACAAGAGCCAAGAGTGCTTGTAACATTTGTGCAAGACAACTTACAGATTACAGAGGAGATAACCGCAAAGGGACAAAACTGTAGCGCACACCAGCCAGAACCTGAGGCTGCTGCAATCCAGGCTGATAGCTGTGAATTGGTGACCTGCACGGTGACTGTTGCAACATGGTCACTGACCCCACACCACCCCAGCTGCCTCCACAGCAGCAGGTCCACCTCCTCTGTACCCTTCACGTCTTTCACTATGAACTGCTGTGTTTCTTCAGCACTCAGAGCACGATCAAGAATTCATCTGAAGTCAGTCTGACATGCAACGCAATCCAACTTCATTCCAGCAGTTTTTAATATTTACCTTCCCATTCATTTTCCAGCTACACACACAGCCGGACGCAGAGCATTGTTCAGAAGCACAAGCCGTGACTGTGAAACCAAGCTAACAGCCCCTGCTGCAATGAGATCCACCCATAGCAGAACCTGGTGCTGAGGTGAGGGCTCACTCCTGGCCCAGAGCTCAGAATGGAGACACACAGAAAGCAGGAGGGCTCAGGGCATCTGGGGGCACTTCCAGCACCACGAGTGAAATCGGGCACAATAATACACCAAAAGAAATAGAACTCTGTGTGGTTTTATTCCTCTTAAAAAGAAAAAAAAAAAAAAAATCTAAGCGACATAGCCGCTTTGGGTAAGAATAAAGTGCGGATCTGCGGGAAAAAAAAAAACACTTCAGGAAGAAGCTGACACACCGCCGAAAGTTTCCAATCCCTAGCGCTCGCTCGCACACAACACACCTGCTTTCAAAGTCAAATGAAAGAGATCGGCCCGGAACGCGAGACCTTGTGGCGACCGCGCAGCCAAAGCGCAAAGCACGGAGCGCATCGCAGCGCCTGTCCCCGTCCTGCCGGGGCTGTGGAACTCGACGGGACCGCGTAGTACAGTGCAGCGCGGAGCAAAGCAAAGCAGTGCGGAGCAAAGCAGTGCAGAGCAGCCGGCCCCGTGCCCCGCCGACAATGCCCTTTACATAATGGCACGGCGGGGACGGGCCCGCCCCGCGCAGGCCGAACAAAACTGCCATTCTTGCAGGAAACACCGGCTCAATGGCTGCTTTTAACGCGCTGCTCCGCAGCACGTTCCCCTCCGGTGCCGTTTATCGCAGCCGCTCCCAACCCGTTCCCTTCCCCCAGGCCCCGATCCACGCCAGGACAGCGCGTCCTCCGCGGCCCGGCCGCCGCCGCCCACCTGCTTTTAAGCGGCTGACTCTTCAGCTCGTAGTACGTCTTGGGCTCCTCGTGGAACTCCTCTCCCACCTCGAAGTCCGGCACGATTCCCGACTCCGCCTGCATCGTCGCCGCCGCGAGAGGAGAGCCGCGAGGTGACCGCCGCTCCGCTCCGAGCCGAGCCGCGCCGCTCCCGCACGCCCACAGCGCCGCGTCCGCCCCGCCCGGTACTGAGTCCGCCCCGGGGCCGGGCCGGGCCGCCGCCTCCGCCCGCCGCAACGCTACGGCTCGAGCCCCACGCGTGCCCACCTGCGGCCCCTCGGCCCCCGCCCCGCTCAGAGTTCGCGCCGTGACGTCACGGGGCTCTGAGCGCAGCTGGGCGTGACGTCACCGCCCCTTTGCGAGGCGGGGCTTTCCGTGACGTCCCGAAAATCCGCGTTTCGGGGTCAAAGTGGAAAAGTACGAGCTGGGGGCCGGCCCTTGTTAGCGGGACGGGCTCGGCGTGCGCTGAGAGGCAGGGAGGGACGCTCTGAATGCAAACGATGTGCAGGGAAAGTGTCGAGGCGGCACGGAGTGAGGTCTGTGGTAATACATGCAGAATGCCTGGGATTCCCGTAGCAGGACGGGGTGAATTTCCAGCACAGCAATTTCAATTCAAGTTTTACACGCATTTACAAATGAGCAAAAAAACAAACAAACAAACAAGCAAAAAAAAATAACCATAAACATCGCTAAGAAAGGTGTGGTAAAATTACTTATAAAAAAAAAAACAACAAAAACAGTGGGGTTTCAATCATTTGCAGCAGAAATCGTGAGAAGTACCCCAGATGGATTGCTGCAGGAGCAGGGACACAAGCAAGCATCTCATCCCAGAGCTCTGCAGAAAGGGATGCTGTGACTGCAACAGCCTGGCTGGCTGCTCACATCGCACCCCACGCAAGCAAAGTTGAGCACAAATATCAGCATTGGGTCCCAAATGGCTCTGCAGCCTCCAAACTCTGTGCAGTGACTGCACAGCGAGAGCAATTACTTCCCTGAATCTGAATCAGAGGCGACAACTTGGATAGGGCCCCGAAGAGTGTTCTTTTGAGCCCACATTGGCAGATGGTAGGGATAGCTCTGAGGAGCCGTGGGCTCGCTAACTGCTTTGGGGGAGAAACGGAGGGGGAAAAAGCAACCACCAAACAAACAGTGAGAACGACCTGCAAAAAGCCCACTGCTAAGCTGCACTTCCAGCTGAGCTCCTTGAGATCAATGAGATGCTTTTGTGAGTGAAGGATGGTGCAAGGAAACACGGTGCAGGACGCAGCTGGTTGTAAGGCTTCCCTTCTATTTTTCTAGGTGCAAAAATGATATATTCTGCTGTTCAAAATGTACAGCATATGAGGTTTCAGCTTTGTTTTAATTATAGCACTAGTTCTAAAGATCCAGTATGCAAATCTACGTCCTAGGCAATGACACTGCTCTAGAGATATTGCAGCTTCAGTAGCAGCATGCGCACAGCTCACAGCACAGAGAACACTGCCTTTCCTTTCATCGCCCCGCAAAGCCCTTATTTCTGTCTTTCACCCCTTTTCTGGGCCAGCACACAGTTGGTGTTCAGTGGGCAATATCTCACTGTACCTGGGCTAATTGGGACCTTGACAGCGTTCTGCTGAGTCACGAAAAGCTCTTCTCATAATAGATGGCATTGGTGCTTATAATTCTCTTGTAGAGCTTGTCTTTCAGAGAGAAGGAACAATACTTCCCCTGGGCCGAAGCTGGAAATTAGTACATAAACACACCCCCCAAACAAACAGAGTGCTTGAAGGTGAACCTATTATGCCAATATTGCAGTTAATTTGCTATAAAAATAAAGGAAATCAAACTCAAAAGAGATATTCAGTGAAATTAAAGAAGAAGTGGCTGTTGTGCTGTCACGAGTACTAGATTTCTGTAGAGCAATTCTATGGAGCATTGAGTGTTTCCCCGCTGTGGATGTCCAGCTGCTTTAGGGAAGCAGGGAAGAGCAATTACTGACAAAGTGGAAAATAAAACACCAAAAAGGTCACTGGTCATACATCAAATCAGTGGCAGAACTTGAGTTTTATTCCACTGATTACATTACAGATATAACCCCACTGAGACCTTTCCCATGTAGGTTTTCTGTGGCACTATCATTCCTCCAAGGCCCGAGATCTGTGAGCAGGTCCAAAACACTCTCAGAACCGCATAGCCATGAGCAGCAAGCATGTTGAGCAGAGCTGCTTTATTGTTAGGATTATTTTCCCCTCGATGGTTACTCCTTGTCACCCTCATTTGTAGCAGCTTCGCTTACAGATCCCATAAGTTGTATTTTTCTTCTCCTGACCTATAAATGCCATTTGAAACAGTTCTCCCATCAGTACTGTCACTCAAAGTGCAGTTTGGGGATCTCTGGTGACATCAGGAGCAGCAACATCATTTGGTATCTCTGTCAGTAGGCAAAACATTTGCCACCCAACTCAGCAGAGTTCCCAGTTTGAGAGAATTTCCCCACAGCAACTGTTTGTGCATTCATCTGAAGGGAAAAGGAAGCAGGCAATGCTGCTATTCAAAAAAGCAAACAGGCATGTGACAATTTTGAAGAAAGTTCCCAGGCAGGCCTTAGCACTCATACTCTGTACTGTATGCTGTGAGATCTGGGATGAGAACAGCATTACTCCAGCAGAGCGAGGCAAGAAACTGTTTCTACCCTCTCTCTTTACTGGGCAGAATACTCTGACATACAAGAAAGCCAGCAGCCACATAGAGTGCAATAATTCCACATGGTTCATTTGCATGCAGGGATTGCCAGACACCAGAAGTAGACAGATGTTTTGGGGTAATCCAACAATTCTTTTGAGAGAGAGAGAATAACAGGCTGGGTGCCCCACATCCAGGCAGGACAACTCACCCCACACAGCACTTCTAAAAACATTCCCTGCAAGATTTGCATCTGCTTCTCGTAGAAAAAGTTTCTGGTTCTCTCATGAGCACCCCAGGATAGATAAGCAGAAGTCATATTTTAAAATAGAGCTTCTAAGACTACTTCACCATACTTGGAACAAAGTCTAAAATGCTGTCAGTTCCAGGCTGGTTTTATCAGCAGAACTGAAGGTGATTAATTCTGCAGCTGGGCTCCTGAATGAATTCTGTTCCTTTAATGAGTCATGCACTAATCCCAAGCCCTTTCTTTCTTCATCTCTACCATATTCTTCTGTACTTAAATGGATAGGTGACAGAAAAATTCAAGGGGAACTACACAGTATCCTTAAGGGTTTGATTTTCACATGTTCCTCTTTCCAGATGCTATCTCATGACACGGGTTAGCAACAGCAGTGGTAGCACAAACAGAAGCTGCAACAGCGATGTCATCCTGACTCTGCTTTAGGAAACATTAAAAAAAACCCTTGCCTGGGATTTCAGTTATTCCTTCCAGTTCTTGTTCAAAAGACTTGGCTTTCAAGATTTCCACAGTTAAGAGAGTGAACAGATGCTGCTAGCTCCAAGCAGACAGTGCTGGAGGCCACCACATCTCTGTGCAGTGAGGAACTGCAGATCCCGCAGCCAAGTGGGATTGGGCTGTAGGCAGCCTGGTCTACTGAGAGGTGTCTCTGCCCATGGGACAGCATTGGAAATGGATGATCTTTAAGGTCCTTTCCAGGACCTCAAGCCGTTCTATGATTCTATCATCCTCCCTGGCCTAGGGAGGGACTGCAGGATGGAGAAGAGACATCTGAAGGCTCTCCCCTTGGGTCCGTGGCCAGCAGAGGACCTGGGGGGCTACGTCTGGGAGAGCAGCAGCAGAGTGAGACACCACATGCTGCCACTCAACAGTGACATTTGGGCTGGGAACAAACCTTTAAAACTCAGTAAAAGCAATGGAATAAAGCTTGTGGGGACAACCTTATTTGGTGCAACAAATCTGCAGAATTAAACTGGCGCAAAGGCCACAGCAGATGCAGATAAACCAAGTTAAATTCTAACACTGATTTAATATAATTTGGTGCAGCATCAGTGCTAGTTAAACTGATTATAGAGTTAACTGGTTTCAATAAGTTTGACCCAAGTACAGGCACTGGCTTAACTAGATTGCTTAAAGTCAAGAGAGAGCTTCAGCTCTGCCAGATTTTCCCTGTTGTATTTAAACCAGCACAACCTGTAGGGACATGTGAGCAACTGCTTTTAACAGGGAGCAAAGTGCATCAAGAAAAGAGGACTTGGCCCAGGAATGCTGGCCACAGGCACCTTATTCTTAGCTTTCCTGAGAAACTGTGTCATCTTAACATCAACAACACTTAGGTCTAAATTTGCTCCTGAAAATCCTATTATAAAAGGTGAAACCAAAGTCACTTTTTTTTTTCTTTTTTTTTCTTTTTTTTCTCCAAAATATATATATAATCCAATCAATTTAGGGGGAAGGTGTTTGTTCTGTCTCCCTGCTGCCCAATAACAGTTTTGAATGGAAAGCCATTTTTTTCTCAGTAAGAACTTTCTACAGCTTTCTATTTTGATACAGACCTGTGAATGCTTCCCAAGCTTCATCTGTCTTTTGAAAGAGGCTTCATTACAAGAGCTTTTTGGAGAACAAAACTTCCATTATTTTTAAGAGTTCAAGGTTATACACTGGAAATACAAACATCTGTACTTAATAGTCACAAACTTGGGTACTAAGGTCCTCATTTCCCTGATTCACATCAGGCCTTTACACATGCTCCATGAAGCACAAACCCTCTCAAAATGTCTTAGGATACACATTCCCTACCTGAAGCCAGAATCCCTTTCATTTTTCTCATTGTCTGTATTTCCACAATCCTTTAACTCCAAACTGCACGGAGATAACTGGTACTATAAAAGACCCAAGCCATACAGAAGGAAAAGATTCCCAAAACTCTTCTTGAGTCATCATGAAGTGCTTTGTTCATAATCTGTCTACTGCAGAAATCCCAACAGGGATTTAATACTTTTTTCCCCCTTTTCTTTCAGTGAGTTGCCATTGCTCTGACAAGAGGCAATGTAATTCTGTGTCATTGCCTCCATCTACCTGGAATGGATGATTTGCCAAAGGCATTTTTTCTGTGAAGGCAAGAGGCTTGGTTTAAAAAAGTAGACTTTGTCAGACCCATTGTGAAGGAAAGCTGATATGACCTGATAGTCAGTCACAAGAACGTATCAAAGACC